CATTAGAAAATTCTGCAAGGAATAGACTGTTTTTCAATTCATGCACATTTGTGTTCAATATTTCTAATTTGGCTAGAAAAACTAGTTCATCACTTCGCAAATACTTCCCAAAATTTAGCTACACTAATAAAAAAAAATTGTTTATTTCAATCACATAAATATAAAATGACTTTTTAGCCAACAAATTGAGTTTCACTCGCCTTTTACAACATTCAATTGGAGCAAAATGCTTTACCTACCAATCCATCCGCTATATGACATTAAAAGTTTGAATTAGAATGATAATCAATTCAACTTGTAATTTCTTTTCATGAATTTTAACATGCACAATATATTTTTTGTTTGTATATAAACGACTTTCCGAAGGCATAATAACACAATGAAGGAGCAAAAAACATAATATCAACATACAAACTGATAACAATCTCATAAGAAATGAAAGAATGAGACACACCTGAATCGAATAAAACAATACTAGAATGATCTTGAAACAAAAACATACCTTTAATCACTTTATTCAGATTCTTTAACTTCTTGGGGGTAATTGCAAATACTTGGGATTTTACTTAATGCTTAATTCTGCACTCTGAAGTTTCACTCTCTGCTTGAGTTGAAGGATTTCTCAAAAACTGAGTTTTGTTGGACTGCTGTCTTCCCAAAATTTCCTTGGCTGTCCCTATCCTTGATTTGCCCGGTCAGCTCTCTTTTCTTTTCTCGTGGACAATTCATCTGAAGATGCCTTTACTATTCACATTTGTAGCATTTTTCGAAACCCATCATACTCTGTCCAAAATTTCTATATCTACACTTATCACAAACTAACTGAGGTTGTTTATGCTTATCTTCTAATTTAATTTTCTTGCTTTAGAATCCTTCTAATTTGCCAAAATCTATTCTCTTGCTCCCTTGAGTTGCAATCGCTGACCAAAAAAGTTCAGCTCATTTTCAGTTTGTCTCTCTTTCAACGAGCATTGCGAAATCACTTATTTTGAATGTCGCCAAGCCAATCTCAACCGATCTTTGAGGCCGCATAGAAATCTGTGACATTTATTCTCTTGGGTACTGACATAGTGAGCTGCCTATATGAAAAACAAAATAGTTTCTGTCTTGTATCACATGACTGATCCGGATCCTCGAGTCATATTGAATAATTTATCTTGTAGTGCTAATGTGGCTGAAGGCGAAATGAACCAATCATTGAAGAATTTGACAAAATCATCTCACTGAATTTGTTGAAGAGGTGCTAGCTAAATCTTTCTCTATGTTGTGCTTTTCAGCACCTTTTTGTCTTGCCTTCCAGCATAAAAGTGATGAGTACCACTTTCATATTTTCTGGACAAATCATACCATCCAGAATTTTTTTCGATATTTACTAGCGAATTTCCAACAACTGTAGTGTCATTGTTACCCTTGAATGCATGTGCTTTGAATGTCTCAAAGATTTTCAAGTGCCGATTAACTTTTGCCTCATGTTCAGATCTAGGTTCTATATAAAAGGTATTTCAATAGTATTCATTTTGTCAATCACTTGTGATGTCAACCGGGCAATCCGCTGAAATTCATTTGCTCTGGTTTTCTCATTTGTTATGTTCTGATTTTCATTTCTGTTCAAAACATTTTTAGCTCGTGCTTCTTGTTCTGCAATTGGCCTAGGAGATTGACTCTCATTATTTTATGATTTTCCTTAGGCATATTCATTTTTATTGACATGATTTAATATTCAAATGCAATTTATCATATAATATTTGCATCGTGCATGTATGATACCTTAAGTCATATGAGTTATCTACCCAGATCAATTAACATATAGCTTCGTTCATATTTGATTTTATTCTTCTAAATCCAAAATGCTTCCATCATTTTTTCATTCATTCAATAACTATGCTTTGATACAATTTTTTGTCATACCCCAACTATCCCCCCTGTAAAGGTCGGCTGAGGTGCGACAGAGCAGACTATTCGATCAGACTAAATTCTCATCAGCATTTGTATTGACTTGCATAATTAGTACTCAGTGGGTGATGACTTAGTCTAATAAAATCTCTGTAAAACATTCATTATACATTCCATTTCATAATTTATTCATATTCATATAGTTGGAAACGTGAAAGTATGGAGTTGCTAAATCTTAACATAAATAAAATACATACCCAAAAGAGCACAAGCTCCTAAAACTATGAAATGCAAAATCTGCACAAGCAACACCTGGCTACTCACCTGGATGCTTCTCACTCCTTCCTGTAAGTCAACAACGTAGAGTGAGCTATAACATGCTCAGTGAAATAATCAAATAAATACGATTTTATATATGAAAAAAAGATAATTGACATGCTCGTATGTAATTGTATATGTCCACACACAAGTTACAATATGCTAAAATCATATATAACACGTAAATAAAAAATAGATAGTAAAAAAAGTCATGACTGTTATGTAAAACATGTATGTTATTCTTGTGTGGTCATAAGTATGTTTATAAGAATCTTTAATCTAATGATTGTAATGTCACTTGTAATTGTATAGGCCTTAAACTATTTCTATGTCATGTCATATCATTGGGTTGTCATCTAGCTCGAAGCTACATTAACTATTGATAAATGTTATCTCCTAACATAGCAGTTATCAATAATCCCTATAGTACCAATAGTTTTTACATTCTATCATCGTCTGCTCCCAACGGTTCCTGGAGTTTCATCATCTTTTGAATATTAGAAGTTAGGAATCCCCACATTTCTGTCGTTTGTACTTGCAAGTATTCATGTAATAGCCTACTTATAACCATCATTTGTGATATTTTGATATTTCTTAAAACATAATTCCTATGTTAAACATTTATCATGCATTTCGAATGTCATGGGCATGAATCATAATAAATAAATATATTCATGCAATAATTTCATAAACAAATTCATCAAATTCATATCATAATAAAATCACATGTATCATTAGGGCAATCAATTTATATTCATACAACAACGCATGTATTCATCTACAATATGTAGGAAATTTTAAATACTATAATGTCAAACATGTAATCACATTAAACCTACAAAAAGTTATTTTTCTAAAGTTAGCACATGATTATTTCACTTAACTTGACGGAGCAATCCTGTGACGAGTTTCCATACGCTCGCCTTGAGCTCGTCTTCTCATGTAAATTATTTAGAATTCATAAGCATTGTAGGAGTTGATGGAATTTTAGCTCGTTTCGTTATTTAACCTAAAACTTAAATCATTTACGAAATCTCACCTCAAATGGTTTAAGGCCTTCTCCTATCTTTCTCGGCATAACAAGGCCTTCTCCTATCTTGCCTATTCTTCTTTCCTCTTCTTCCTATTCCCTTAATCCTCCCTCAACCTTTTGATTTCATGCTAAAAGGCCTTACAAAAGCGCACAAATTGAGTTTGTCACTTCCGATACAAGTTCGTCCTCGCTACAACTACCATAAACAAAAAAAAATGCACAAATTCGTTACATACATCAAAATGAAAACACGTGGAAGGAAATAAATATTTAGAATTGCGTGAAAGAGGGATTTGAACTCACAAAAATCTTCCTTGGGCTCCTTGTTGTAGGCTGCGACTCCCAAACTGACGCTCGCCCTCCCTGTTCGCGCTCTGGATTGCGTCTGTGCTACATGTGCCAAGAGAAAATCTTTTCAGGTGAGCAAATTCGAGATAGGGAGAAGGATTGGGAGGCAATTTAACCTAACCCTACCAAAAAATCCTCGTCGTTCGACCCAATCTACTTGTTACATGCCGAGAAAAGTGCGGAGGAGTCGGTGGCTTAAGTAGATATGCGGGATTAGTGATATAACTAAGGTTTAAATAGTTTAATTAAACTTATAACTTCCACATTTTATTTCTCCCATTCCATTCAAAATTTCTATATTGTGTTATCTATCAAATTGATCCATTTGTCTTGTAGAATTTTATTAACTTGTTTCGATTAAATTTTGATGGATGCAAAATTTGAAATTCATTTTAAAAATTGCAAAATTTTATCTAGTTTCTCAAATTTTGAGTGTTACAACTGATGTATTGGTGCCTTTTTGGAAGGTATGCGAGTTCTATAACCTTGTCTCATCTTGCTAGAATTCGTAGGAGTGCAACCTACTGCTTGACTTTCCTTCAGGAAATATTGAATATCTTTTTCATTGTTACATAGGAAATCATAATACATTTAATATAGTAGTGTGGATGGTGTAAACTTCCGTAGTTGTTTATGTATGTATATTTTTTCTTTTATTCGTAGTAGTCTTTTAACCAATTGGACAGTTCCTTATCTGCAATATGATTTGACACTAGACGGTTGGCAAATTCAATGCTTTTTAATTATCCTCTCAACAAAATATACCTCCTGATTCTTTCTTCTGGAACTAATCGTTGTAACTTTTAGTTGGAGAAACTTGTCATATTGAATACTGATTAAATACACGTTTTTCTTCCTCTTTCTTCATTCCTTTTATGTTGGAGCTTATTTATTCCAACAACAACAACAACAGCAACAAAGCTTTAATCCCACTACGTGGGGTCGGCAAGCTTATTTAGTCCAGCAATATTTATTTATTTTTCCTTTCCTCCTTTTTACTTCTAAGCTGTAGAAGTTTGTGATATTTAATTCTAATTTATTTCCTTAGCATAATATTTCTCTTCTTTTTTGTTGTCTCAATACTACATGTAAAACATTATAAGGCTTGTTTTATGGTTAAAACTTAACCTTTAATTTTCTTCATGGCATTCCAGCGACAAAATCTTGGTTCTTTTTTTCTTCTGGCTGTGTATTCTGGTTTCATGAAGACTTAAGCTGACCTCTTCTCTTCTAGGTTTTTCAGCGAAACTGTATTATTATCCATTTTCTAGATGCTGCTTGTGAATACGCAATTGAGTAGTTGTGCTCCTTTCCAACTGCTAGTGTTTATTATTTGTGAACGAGCTAGAGTGCGTCTGCACAGATTAGTTGACTATAAAACCCGGAATGTGAATTTCTTCTTTCTCAGGTTCAGTCTAGAAGATCACGCAATCAATCAATGTTTATTCAGCCTGGTTCATGTTCCATAGCATTTCGTCCTGATGCTACTATCTTACTGTTAAGAAGAGCATTCAAGGATAAACCTCTAGGAGTTCTTTGCCGATCAGTATGTTTATCTATCCTTCAATGATTGTATTGCTTTATTTTTTTTAAATTCAAGATTAATATCGCCTTTTTTATTATTTTATTGTTTTTAATTTCTATGTAGGCTGCATTAGCTCTGCAAAAGATTATAGATCCGATTATTACCCAAGTGCAGCCTACACCCAATAGTGACTCAGCATCATCTGCGGAATTCGACGAAACAACTGTACCTTTAATGCTAATGCCATTTCATGCACATACTGCTGACTATTCAATCTTGTTCGGAGAAGAATTTAAAGTACCTAATGTGGATTGGAATGTTGATATCGTGAACGTGCTCGATATTGCTTCGGTTGAAGAAGGCCTTTTCCATGTTCTCTATGCTTGTGCATTACATGTAAGTGCCGACGTAATCTTTCTTATGTTGTTGCCAAAAGGAAAAGGTTCTGTATTTATTGTCTTGCTATGTGATATGTTCTGGTTCTTGGTCTATGATATATGCTTAGTTTTTTTTTTTTCTCTCTTCTCTCTTTAGTTTTTTCACTTTTTCTGGTTTTCTCATTTGTTGTGGTGCTCTGGCAATAGCACAGCCTCCAGTCTGCTGCAAGTTGGCTGAGAGTAACTTTGAGTTTTGGTCGATGTTGCCACTTATACAAGCATTGCTCCCAGGTTTCACATACTCTATGTTCCTGCATAAACAAGTGCTATTTCTTAATGCAACATAGATTTAACTCTTCAGTTTTATATGTAGCCCTGCGCCCTCCTGTTAGTAGTCTAGATCGAGTGGATGAGTCCTTTGGGCAGTGGAAGCATCCTTCTATTGAGCATGCTCTTTCACAGGTTTTCTCGTTTGTCCTGTATTTGGCAGATATTGCCCATATGCACACAACAAATTTATAAAACATCTAACTGTTGTTGCAGATAGTGCTGATGTCTTCATCAACCTACCACCCGCTCCTCCATGCTTGTGCTGGATATTTGTCCTCTTACTCTTCATTACATGTTCGTTAACTTCTTGCTACTTTTATTATCTCGTTTATTATTATATTTTGAAGTAAAATATTTAAACTGGATGGTGATATGAGTACATCTTAAGGTATTTATGCAGAAATGTGTGCAAAAAAGAAAAGAAAAGAAGAAAAGAAAATGGTTGAAAGATACAAATATTTCATTTAGATTGTTTAGCTTGCTGTATTGTAAAAATGATAGAGTGACGATAGATTATTGTGATTTTTATCCCTTATGTATAAAAAATATGAAATCTTTAATTTACTAAAGAGTCGATTCTCTGAATGCCCCAATGAGAGAAATACATGACAAATGATCATCGCTTTATTTACCAATGAGAAAAGTTTGAATCATTTCAAGTAATTATGTTGAATTCTTTGTGATAAATTTATTAGTAGGTGAAGTGATCACAATCAATAGGCACGTTTAAACTTGAATATCTATTAGTTTGTCCTGAAGATAATTTGAACCTGGATCTAGTTTTTGGAGCACACTTGAACAGAAAAAGGGCGGTCTTCCACCAAAAAGTTAAATAGAAGGAATTGTTCAAATACTCTTTTTTGTACATTCTTAACATGGGCTTAAATAGAGTATTACAATATTTTACAAATATACCCCTAGACTTCTTCATTATTCCCTTTTTACCAATAGGGCTTTAATTAAGGTCCAATTCTCCACACTTCCACTCAAAATGGGCAAAAGATATTCACTAAGCCCATCTTCTCATAAAACCTAGGCAAATCAAGTGAGCTAAGTTATTTAGTGAGGCGGTCAGCTGCTTGCTTTCCAGTGGTTACATGACTTAGCTCCAGTAACCCGTTATTCAGCTTTTTCGTGATGAAGAATCTGACAATCTCCACATGTTTGGTTTTATCGTGCTTCGCCGAGTTGTTGGAAATGTTGATTGCTGACTTGTTGTTGCTCCACTTCATTTGAGTTCCTTGGCCCACTTTGAGCTCGACTAACAAGGTTCTCAATCACATAATCTCGGCAACTCCTAAGGCCATGAACCTGTACTCCGCTTCTACTGTTGACCGCGCTACTACATATTGGTTGTTGCTCTTCCAAAAGACCAAGTTGCCTCGTATGAACATGCAATATTCTGAGGTGGATCTTCTATCATCTGCACAACTCGCCCAAACAACGTCACAAAAGCCCTCAATGTCTACATGCCCATTCTTACTTAAGATATACCCCTTACTCGTGCACTCATCAGGTACCTCAGAATCCGATACACTGTATCTATGCCCTTTTCTTGGATCATGCATGCAGAGGCTCACCACGCTCACTACAAAAAGAGATGTCGGGTCGAGTGCAACGTAGATGGATCAGCCGACCCACCAATCTCTAGTACCTCTCATGATCAATCTGTTCTTTCGCCTTTGCACTCAACTTGGCCTTCTGATCAATTGGAGAGACTGCAAATTTGCACCTTAGCCTGTCTGTTTTCGTGAGGAGATCTAGTGCATACTTCCTCTGGGACAAGATCATTCCCTTAGGTCCACGGGCTACTTCAGTCCCAAGAAAATAGCTGGGTTGTCCAAGTTCACCTCAAATTAATTGCTCAATCATTTCCTGGTTGGGCAATCTTTGCCTCATCATCACCGGTGACAATGATGCTATCAACATATAAAAAGCATAGCGATATGACATTCATGTTATCGAAATAACATTTTATGGCATGCATTGATCTGCTGATATCCCATACCTATCATAACCTTTTTAAACTTGTGAAACTAGGCTTAAGGAGACTACTTCAAAGCTATACAGTGACTTCTAGAGCCTACACACCTTGCCCACTGTTTGGACTGTACCAAATCCTGGTGGTATCTCTATATATATGTTCTCTATTAACTCACCATGAAGAAATGCATTCTTCACGTCAAGTTGGTATAACCTCCAACCGCTATTTACTGCCAAAGAAATCAGTGCCATTATTGTGCTCATTTTTGCTTCTGGTGCAAACGTTTTATCATAATTAATGTCATATGTCTAACTGTAATTTTTCTCTACCAGTCGTGTTTTGTACCGCTCCACCTTCCGTTATTGGTTTGTTTCATTGTGAAGATCCACTTGCACCCAACCACCTTTTTCTGTGCTGGTAGTGGCACCATCTCCCATGTTTGTTTTTTATCGAGAACCCTAATCTCTTTATGCATAGCTATTTTTCACTTGGGATCCTCCTTAGCAGTATGCCAACACTTGAGTATAGATACAGTGTTCAAAGATGCAATGAATGCTCTATGCAAATGTGGTACGTTAGAATATGAAACAAAGTTAGCAATATCGTGTTTCCACCCAAAACAATCGAGAGGATATCCTGCATTGCTGTGAAAGATCCTCCTTAAAGTTTGGGCATTAGCAGGAAGATGAATCGTATCATCTGAGAGATCTGAGTCAGAGGTGGATGGTTTAGGTGTCTCAAGTGTCAAAGATGACCGGGATAAGGGGCTAGATGACACAAGTGTCAATGCAGGTACCGTCCCCTGAATTTGCTTCCTTCTCCGTGTTTACACACTTAGCTCACCTTTAGCCTAAATCTCACAACCTCTATGTTTACACTTCTCATTTTCAAGTTCCTTGACTGATTTATCCCACGTCATTAGTTAAGGCTTCTCTTCCTAATGTACCACTCTCTCACCATTGCTACTCATCCCCGCTTGCCTCATATCTCCTGTATTTGGCGAGTCACCAATTAGTATGGTCCAAATTCTCAAAATGACAAATTCATGCTCATATTCTCTTCTCTATTGGGCTCCAACAGGCATACCCTTTCTAGGTAGCAGAATAAACTACAAACACACATTTCACAGCTTTGGGATCTAACTCCCCTACTGATGCCTTGTTATCGCTCACAAAACATATAAATCCAAACACTTTCATTAGGAGGATCATGTTATTCTCTCCTTTCAACATCTAACAAGGAGATTCTTAATGCAACACTCTTGAGGGCACCCTGTTGATCAATTGAGCAACTGTCAAAACTGCATGCCCTCATAAGTGCTTTAAGACATTTGTTGTGATGATTATGCTTCGGGCTATCTCTAGCAGGTATCCATTCTTTCTGTCCGCTACTCCATTTTATGTTGTGTTTGAACATATAGTTTGATGTTGTATTCTTTGGGCTGATAAGTATTCCTCAAATGCTTTATTGGTATATTCTATGCCATTATTAGATTTCAATAACTTCACTACTGCACCATATTGAGTTTGGATTGTATTGCGGAAGTCTTTACAGGAATCAAATACCATCTTATTTCTTATCAAATATAACTAAATAACATGAGCAAAACAATCAATAACTGTCACAAATATCAATAATTATTCATAGAATCTGTAGGAAAGGACCTCCAAACATCAGAATTTATCACGTAAAAAATACTAGAACTCGTATTCCCAGAACTGATATACTAGCTCCTAGTAAGTTTACCAGACTCACAAGTATCACAAACCAGCTTTTGTTTATTTGTCTTTTCATATAAAAGATGATACAACTGACTCAAAAAACTGAAACAATGATTTCCCATACGTCTGTGTTGTAGCAGCAACACATCCTCCACACTCCTCCCATATTCTCCTACGACAACAAACTCTGTCATGGATGTCAAAGTTAAGTGTCCATCCTTTCTCGTTCGAAGTAACAGATTCCACAATGTCACATTTCAATCTCAAATATCTGACCCATCCTTTTCTTTTGGAATGTCATCTTATGAATATCAAAAGAAACAACACATTTGGATAATAATGACACTAATCAATAAAAGGTACACTGGGAAAAGAGCATCTAAAATATTGAACGAAGTCATATAATTGATACCCCTCATTGTACCTTTACCAACTACAGGCTATGTTGTACCATCAGTAGTCTATATGCTGTATGGTACTGTTAGGGGAGTATAGGAAGAAAACTCTCTAGTAGTACCTATCACATGCCGAGATGCACTAGAATTTTTTATCCATTTTGATGATTCTGTGGTGGAAATAGAGGCAAGAGTATACGTATCACAAGTATTTTGTCAGAGTGAGCATAAATGCCAATGTTACCTTTTGATGAAGGCTGGTTGAAAGAATCTTCAGTCCTATATCCTGATGCATTCAGTTTCTTTTTCAATAACTCCAAGCACTCATGTTTCTTATGACAAAAATCACTCCTGTCTTTCCCTTCTCTTTTATCATTAGATTTGCCCGGTAACCCTCTTTTCTACCTTTTTAACCACCACTAACACGACTACGACCTCCACTCTATTCATGTCCACCCGCCTCTCTCTCCTTATGTGGCCAGGACATGTCTTGCTGAGATGAACAACTTCACCATTGTTGTAGCACTTGCGAGTCTCCCCCTGGATACTGTTATACCTGAGCTCCAGGCAGCCAAAGTTGATTGCGCTCCCAGAAGTCCACTCGACTCTAAGTGTAGCTTCATGCTACTCTCCTTGTGTATCATTGCAACAATGACCTCACCCTGTGAAGGGATAGTCGCCCGATCTAAGAGGACAGATCTCCTCTGATGAAAGGCTAAGTTCAGATGAACCATAAATTGCATAGTTCTCACATGTCCAAAGATCTTTCCCTTCTTGCACTCCGAATCGCCACAGCTCGACATTGGTGAGAAGTGATCAAGATCTGCCCACAACCGCTCCAACTCCATGGAGTACTCTTGAATATGTCCATTACCTTAAACCACTGCCTCTAGCTTGCGCAGAATTTGGAACCCCCTCATATGGTTCTCAGTCCCATCATAAATCCTCTTTAGATTTGCTCATATGTTTTTCACCTTTCGAATGCTTTCTGTCGAGGATGCAATTGACAGAACCATCTAGTTGAGTAGCTAGGTGTAATTTAAGGCTTTTGTGGTCCTCCACTTATCCCCTTCAACACTGTCACTTTTTGGCTCGACCCCGTCAGATATCCCTCTAGTCTCTCTTCCCTATAGAGTAGCCTCAATCCGACATGATCAACTCAAATACATGGCCGGTCCATCAAGTTTCATATCC